ATCGATAGCAATCGGCGATTGATATCGATTCATTCAATTGATTTCCGATATCGATCTTTATCGATTGACTACGCCTGGAATAATACAACAGAAAAATACTTATTCGGGCATGGGAACCAAGCTTTTGTTCAAACGATTGTACATTGCAAGAAGTACGTGTGAACGCGAAAAAACTGTATCTATCTAGTTCAGGGCTCAATCGTGCTTACTTAACTCTCTTTTCTTTTTCTTTTTTAACGTTATGTAACAAGACTCACTGCCCAAAAACACGTGATCAACAATCTAAAAAATGTGCATTTGAGTAAGACAAATGGATTCCTTCTCGAATTTTTTATGTTATCAGTCTATGTAAGGAATGGACCAGGAATGTCATAGATGGGTAAGCATTCGCCTCTCACCAACGTGGCTTGGGTTCTATTCCGACCTGGAGTCATAACTGGGTCGAGTTTGTTCCTGGGGTTTTATTGCTGTACTCGCTCGTACGATTCTTCGGTTTTCCACTGGCAAGCTCTCGAAGCAGGGTTGGGAAAGCCGACATTTCTAAATGCTAATTTGAATTGAATAGAGCAACCACACGAAGACCAGCTATGGCTGGTGTGTTTTTCCACTCTAATCATAGAAATTAAGGGTATTCTTTGAGTTTTCTTCCTTGCTACAGTATGCTTCAACTAATCTGTTGCAGCCTGTATGCTGAACGCCCTCTAGTACACTTAGCATAATCACAACAATACAGCTCAAACGATTTTCGGTATATGTATCTGCGTAAGAGGCAAGCCATAGTTTTACCTTGGAAACTTATATTCCCCTTGTTTTAAGGTCCTGCCCGTCACACTCGTGGCGAACGTAGACTTTGCTGGAGCAGCACAAAGCTGTGAGATGTGAAACAAACAACGGAAGGTAGCAATTAACATTATGCTTACTTAAGCAAAACGTCACCTGCCTTCGCTGTATATTTCGCTTTTATATTTCGCTTTGCCGAGAAAGCTGAAGTGGAAATTGAACTGACTACACTTTGCTTTAAATTCTCAAAAACTACAATACAAGCTAACGAGTACAATTTAACCGTCAAACATTTAAAAATGCCTAAATATATTTTAAATTCAGAGAAGAAAATATGAATAATTTTAGATGAACAGGTCTGTTTTGTGTATGGTTTCCCCATTTTTCAGAACACGATCGTCTCATAAAAGCTGCGACTCTCCTAATTCAGCCTTAAGAAGAGGGTGTGAAAGAAAGTCACTAAAAATCGAAGAAGCCCCTTGTTTTTGGTTTTATTTTAATTTTAATTTTTTATTTTATTTTAAGTTTTCGCTTGTATGCAACACCTGATTAATTATTAATGCAAAGTACAGCTTTCAGAAATGTTATTGAGCAGGACGTGACTTGCGATGTACTTTCTATCGAGTGTTCTTAAAGGATTAAAAATGCAAAACGAAAAATAGCTTACCTACTAACATCGTACTTCTACGTCGATCTCAGTTCTCTTGTGTTTTAGTGAATTTTATACAAGCAGAAATAATAGGTAATTTCTTCTTTGAAAATCTTTTAACGAGGCGATCGTGATATAAAATTCAGTTTGGAATATCTGATTAGGTTATACCTTCAGACGCTTTCTATGCGACTGAGGATTGACCTTATAGTTTTAGGTCGATTTAGTCAAGAAAACGTTTACAGTTGTATGATTATTCTAAACAAAGAAATCGATTTACCTGCCGAAACTGATTACACTCGTGGCGTGGCCGTTTGGTGAATAATTTCAGAACATCATGACGTTTTTACTTCCCTAGTAATGTCCTGAAGCCGGTTAGGAATGTTATTTTCCTTGTCATGCCTTAAATTGCCGTGTGAAGGATGAACTTAGCCTTCTTCCGTCTTACATCCTCATGCTTTCCCGCTTGTTTGAGAGCACTACTATCCACATCAGCATACATCGTCCCAACGAAGCACGAGGCAGAAGTAATTAGCAAAAAAAAAAAAAGAAACCAATCAGCATATGGTCATCACGTGAAGTTAGAAATGGTGGAAAATAACATTACGTATCCTCTTGCCCAAGTCCAGCCAGTGACGAACCTTTTTGCAAAATAACCCAATTCTTACAACAAACACTCTTCTACTTCCGATAAGATTTACATAAAACCCTCAAAACTTGAAATG